CCCCCCCCCCCCCCTTTTCCTCTTTTTACACACACACACACACACACACACACACTCACACACACACACGCGCGCGCGCGCGCCCACATATGACACGACACAACACAGCACATACACACAATTACTCCAACCGATAAGTATCGAAAGTGTTTTGCATTCCAACTTTACCTTTTATACCAAAGTCAAATTATTATTATGTTTCTGATCTTAAAACTTAAAATTCTTTGAAATGCAAGCTCATTAATTAAACTTAGCCTACTGTTCTTGTATGATGTAAAATAAGTACGCTTCTTGGAATAATAAAACATATTAAAGGTCTATTCAATTTTAACACATCCTGAGATCACTTACAGCTAGTCTGCTTTCAGTCTTCTTTTCAAGTCTAGTTAGTTCTAAAAATAAGTCTTCATGTTTTATCTTGCTGAAAGTCTAACGATGTCAAAGTCAAAGCTGCGTGGTCATTCATTACCTCTGCGTGTTGTGGGAAGTTGGCTAGATGTAACGTAAACGAGAGAGAAAGTCTTTGCCGCATACTTCGACCTCAGCCACGCATGCAAGAATCGTTCCATCACAGGTCATCGCCATTACATCCTCTTTATGATGACACACTTCCACGTCCTCCACGTCCTCTGTTTCTGAATTTGATACACAAATTATAATAGAAATTAAAACGAAAATAAAACAAACAAACAACAAACATCAAAGAATGTTACATTATGAGCACACTGGTTTAGAAATGTTCATGAACACTCCCCTCAAGAACTCGGTATTATAATGTCGACACAACTGCATGAATAAGCCTAAGCCTGTGACTCGGGGAATTCCCAGGATTACATTTTGTTTATTCCCAAGAGCAGGTCGACAAAAAGTCTATAATCGAGATTAAAAAAAACAACAACAAAAAACACCCAGATGACTTTAACCGTATTTCTAATAAACATAGTTCGACATGGAAATAGCATGCTTGATCCAGTCATTATTGCCCCTTTTTTCTCTGCAGTTAGAGCTTAACGTGTCCTGCAAAATTAAGACACTTGCATCGCCCCATGCAAGAGTAATAAATTAAGATGAACTTTATTTTTCAGTCGTTTTTGCTGCTCTTCCTGTTGTTCTTACAGAATATTTGAAGATGTTGCTAATGCTTTTCTTATTTTATGTTCTTCCTTTTATTGTTTTTCGTCTCGCCATTGATGTTGCTCTTCGTTTTGAAAATACAAGGGTTTACAGTAAATTCAAAGTTACTATTTTTAGCTCACGGAATTTCCTTGCCTGGATTATCCGCATAATAGTAAGTTTAGCACAGTGCTTCCTTTATCCGTGCTCGAGGACATGTACCTGCAGATCTTGATCAGGACAGCCTGTGGCTTTTGCAGAACACAAGCAGAATTGTTTGGTTTGTAGATCTGTCTAGTCATGAGGCGCAAAACTGAGGGAAAAAATGTCTCGTTGTTAGAACGCTTTACTTAGATCTAGAGCGTTTCAGAGTACACACACACACACACACACACACACACACA